TGTAAGTCTATAAGAGATTCAAGCTTTTCTCTCCAGGGAGATAACTTCTCATGATTCACTTTTTCAATATTTAAAGAAGAAAATTGATTTTTAATCAGAGAGTATAGTCTGTAAAGTTGAGAAGACATTTTCTTTGAAGAATTATTTTCATTTCAATCAAGAAATCTATTTCAATCCAGTTCATTTCCAGAGTTAATTGATGGAAATGAAGAAGAGACTCTTTCTCTGATTATATGATTTAAGCTCATCTTTATAACTCTCAGTGCATAGTTCATACAGGCCTTTTCAAATCTAATAGCAGGAGAAGGAATTGAAGCTTCAATTTTCATTGCTTTAATAGAAGATGATTTGAATGCTTCTAGAATTCTTCTCAAGGCTCTGTTTTGCAGACTTTGAAAGAGTTCAGTGAAATTCCCTTGATTATTTCATCAAACTTGAACTTCATACTCAGCTACTGATGTAATACAGGCTACATATAACTGTCTCATAGCCTGAAAGGATAGACCTCTCTCTGTATTTGATAGTCTGATTATGTTGTTCAATAGTCTTTCTGCCTTGACAGTTCTTTGTTGAATGTGATATTTAAAATTCAACTTAGAGTTTAACCATACTCCTAACCATTTGATATTTACACTGGGTTTAATCTCTCTATTCAAAAGAGTTAGAGATAGTTCTTTCTCATTAAATCTAGAAAAGAAATGAATTAACTCAGTTTTATCCATATCAAATTGAATTTGATTGATATCTGCTCTAACAAAGATTTCCTTTGCAGCTTCTTCAATTACTTTCAAATTCTCTTTGATAGTTTTTAAGCTGTAGACTAGACCAATATCATTCATATAACTCAGAGATCGCACTATTCTCATATTTCTATTTTTGAATAGATATGCAGTGTATATTGCAAATAAAATGAGTGAGATTGAAGATCTCTGTGATACTTCTACTTTTATCTCAGTCTTGTCTTGTTTCATTCCATCAAAGAAGAGTTGTATAATTCTTTTAGATATAAAACAGTTAACTCATTTTATTAGAGAAAGTGGCAGTTTTAATATCTTCAATGTCTGAATTAACTTTGACTTTGAAACATGATCAAATGCTTCTTTTATATCAATAAAAACTGCAGTTGAGACCAGACCCTCATGCTTTGCTATTTGAATATCATGAACAACTGAGAGAACAGTGTCAATTGCAGAACACTGTTTTCTATCTCTCATTTATTCACTGAATAAAAGAGAATCACCTATAGAGCTTATAAAAGATAGTTGAGTAGCTATTATCTTTTCTAAAACCTTTTCTAGACAGTTCAAAAGAGATATTACTCTATATGACTTAGGAATTGAAGTTTTTCTATTAGGTTTTGCAAGAATCACTCCAGTGGCTTCTCTCCAGCATTCAGGATGATATCCATTTTTCAAGAGATTGAAAAAGAGCTCAAAATATTCATTCTTTAAGTAGAAATATGTATTTTGAATAATCAAGTGATTAATTAAATCAGGACCTGCAGCAGTTTTAACAGAACTTGAGAAAATAGCTGACTCTAATTCATCTTGTGTAAGATCAGGCCATTCTCAGTCATTTTCATCAATATAGTTGAGAAGTGATATATTCTCTTCCTCTGAATCTGAATCTGAATCTGGTGAGTTCTGAAAGAGAATTCTCATGAAAGCTTGACATTTTTTCTCAAAAGAGTTTGCTGTATATGATTCATTCTGAAACTCATATTCTAAGGCTGGAAGTTTTGCTACACTTCTTATTTTAGTATAGTTAAAAGCTTTAAAAACTTCCTTCTCTTGTGCTTCTTCAAGAAATTTATTCCAGCAGTCTGTTTTAGCTCTTTTAATATCTGAAAAATATTCATTTCTGACAGCTTTGAACTCTTCATCAGATATTACATCATTCTTCCAATCTCTTCTAGCAGTAGCTAATTCTTTTCTTTTAGATGAGATATTCTCATTCCATCAAGATTTTGAATACTCAGAAGATTTTCTTTTTGAAATATTATCTCTAACACTTGTTAGAATAATAGATGTAATAAGCTTCACTCTATTCTCAAGCATTTCATTTGAGATATCTTGACCAGAATTCTAATATAGCTCATTCTGTCTTTCAGATTTTAACAGTTTTATGCTTTCTTCAACTGCTTTTCAATCAGCTTTTTCAAAGTTATACTGATTAGAGAGAAGAGGATTTTCACTCATTTGTTTTTCACTCAGTTCAATATCAAATTGAACAATCTCATGACCTGATCCTGATGTCTCATTTGAATCAATAAATCAGTTTACAAGTCTTCTTTTCATTAGATTTTGTGATATGAAGGTTAGATCTATAATAGACTTCTGTTTCATGCCTTTTTTAAAGAATGTTTGTTGATCAGACTTATTAACCAAATCTATTGAATGCTCAAAGGTTTATTCAATCAGATTATCAGCTCTCACTGCTCTCTTACATTCTGAATTTCATCAGAGATGATGTGCATTGAAATCTCCTGCAATTATAGAGTTTCTTAATGGAGTTATGTTCAGAAATCCTCTATCAATTGTTCAGATATTGTTATTTTCCTTCAATAACTTTTCATTATAGATATTTATAAGCTGTATAGTATCAAACTCATTTTCTTTATCTATAATATCACTCACCAGAATATCAGGGTCAGACATGATATCAAATCTTAGATTAAATTAATATCTTGATCTCTTTCTTCCATAGATCACTACTCTTGACTTTATCTCAGACTTTTGAGGTAAAAAGCAGTAGTAGCTTGAATGAGAAATGACATATTTTTGCTCAGCATCAAAATTCGGCTCCTGAAGTAGTATAAAATCAACTTTTTATTCAAATGCAATTTGAAGACAAGAATAAATACAATTTGAGTTTCTATTCACATTATTTTGAATAAATGTGATTTTTGAAGAGTTTTTAAACTTTTTTTGTTGTTTTTGTTGTATATTCATACTAAAAGAGAGTAGAGTAGAATCTAATCACTATTATCAGATAGTAGATTATAACTGTTCTGAAAAGTAGGAATCTCAACTGCTTACATTATATCTAGTTTATCACCAGAGTCATTTCTCAATTCTCTAATCTTAACAGGAGTTTGAGAATTCAAATTCTGTTTACATTTAGCTGGAGAATTAGAGTTTGAAGACTTAAATAGTTGAGAGTTTCTTCTTTTTGAGCTTGCAGTTATAAGTCTACTGGCTTGACTCTTCTCTTCAGTTCTAGATTGACTTTGAGCTTCATCTTTTCTCCAGTTCTTTTGAGTTCTAGGAGCAAACATACATTCTTTTGAGCTAGATGCATGTTTTTCTTTGCAATTAGAGCACTTAAGCAGAGTATGTTGATAAATTTCACCTCTTTTTGAGCATGTTTCACATTTATGCTCACTAGTTTTGTGATCTCTGGCACAGAATGCACATTTTGAGTCTCTGAAACATGAGATTGCAAAGTGTTCATATCTTTGACAGTTTGAACACTGTGTTTGAGCTTTGAGATTCATTCTTGAGTCTTTGTATTCATGAACTCTCATTTTCAAACCTGCTACTCTTACTTCAGAGATCTTTGACTGTTCAAGTGTTTTTATATATACTAGAACAGAGGCATTTCTCCTGCTTTGTCTGAACTCAATTGAATTTAGTCATACAGGCTTCTTTCTCAGTTGAATAGAGTTGTATTCTTTCAATTCATTTTTGAGAAGTAGTATTCCTTCTTCACAGTCAAAAATTTCAACTGGAATATCATGAAGAATGAATTTGTCCCACTTTTCATCTCTTTCAGATAGAATTGTTGTGTTTAGCAAAGATTCTACTGCTGACTTTCAGAGATTCTCATTCTGAATAAGGAATTCAGCACTGAATTCAGGCATTGTAGTCAGAATGATGGAGTTTTCAAAGAATGATGACTCAATTGAAGCTATAACTGATTTTTGAACTTCAATATCAGTCATTAACTGAGAAAAGAACTGCTGATTAATTTCATTTCTGATTCTGAAAATGAGATTTGAGTTTAGCTTGTTTCTTTGCAGAATGTCCTGATTTGAGACTTTGAGAATGAGTCTTCTATTTCTGAAGATTTAGAAGTTTTTCTCTTTTTACATTTTCTTTTTCACTTTTCTATGAATAGAGGCATGAGCAGTATTCTTCTCAGTTTTCTCAGGATTTTGAGCAGGTTTTGAGACAGCAGGTTTAGAGACAGCAGATTCAGCTGCTTGAGCATATGTTTTCTTCTGATTCAAAGAAGAAGAAGAAGTAGGAAAAAAGGAAGAAGAAGAACAAGATGAAGAGTCAGTGATTGTACTAGGAATTTTCAAGGTTTTTTGAACTGTGTTTGAGATTCCAAGTTTGAACTTGATCACCTCCTGTAGTTGTCTAGTCTGAGCATGAAGAATTAACAGAACTTCTTCATTCATCTCACTCAGACACTGCTTTCTAAGAATCTTGCTTGCTTTTTCAAGTTCCTGTATTTCAAGAACTTGTTGTTTCTCTATTTCTTCTTTCTTTCTTCTCTTCAGAATTTCAATCTCAGGAATAGCATTTGAGAAAGCATCTTTTTCCACATCAACTGAGTGTATTTTTGAACTCATTGCTTTCACTCAATGAAAAGTTGGTCAGACTGTTTCAATTGAGATATTTCTAAGTCTGTTTTCAATTGAAAAGTTGGTCAGACTGTTTCAAAAGAAGAATAAAAGACTTTTGTGTATAAAACACCTGATTTTTTTCACACTAGTTCAGTAACTAGGTTAGATTTTTGAAGAGAATCTAATAAACTAAAATTGATTTTTAAGATAAATCAATAAAATCTTTACAATCTCTTTCTTGGAATACAGTGAGGAAAAGTATGATATCAATTGATAATAAATCAGATGATATGACAGTTTTTGAGAGAAAAACTGACAAAAAATAAATCAATTTTTTGCAGAGAAATTGATTAAAACTATTCAATTTTATTCTAAATCATTCAATTCTCCTCACACAACAAGTGTGCAACTCAAATCAGTTAATAAAGAGTGTAAAAAAGAATTAAGTATTAATGAAAGCTCTTCAGTCACTGAAAAAGTAATTCTTACTTAAAAGAATATGAAATTATGACAGAAAACAACTCTGTTTTTAATTCTTTGTAAGAATATTGTGTAAAACCCAGAGAAAAACACCTTACTTTTTCAAGAGAAGTAAAAAACTATTTCTAAGATCTTTTTTTTTGCATTAACTGCTGCAGAAGAATGAGATAGAAACTGCTAAGATATGCACTACTGTATACTCTCTACCAAGACTTTCCCTCTTCAGGGTCTTGATATTATAGAGAATATAAGTCTATTTCTATATGATAATATAAATATTGCCAGCAGGATGTAGAGGAACTGGTTATTTATATCTTAAAATAGAAGACTTTGTCAATGATTATATCAATATAGAGTTAATTCTTAAATTCAATAGAAACCTAGTGTTGCTGTTCTCAATCCCTTGCAGAATCTATTGAATATTGAGGTATTAAAACTAGATTTAATATATCTCACTGTGCAGGGATCAAAGGCTCAGTCAGACCTTGGGGTATACTGATTTTATAGTTGTTGGTGTGCTGTTGACTCGTTGTCCGTTGGTTATGTGCTTGATATTATCGCCGAGGTATCTTTTTGTATTTTTCTGCCGGGGATGGGCCAGATTGGGAAGGGCGGTACGAGGGTGGGACTTGGCGTTGGTGTTTTGGAAAATCAAAGATGGACAGGGTTTTCGCGGAGGTCGCTCCTCAGATATCTCCACAACTACAGATCGGGGATCTTCCAAAATTGAGAAGATTGGTGCATACGGCTAGGTCTCTTCACCTAGCAATTTGTATGGCAATTTGGCCCGGGGTTGTGGTGTGGTAGGGGAGAATGAGGGATAATCCCACGCAGGAGTTCCGAACGACGTCTGGTTCACGTTTGGCTGGATAACTCCACCACCACACGGGGTATGCGGTCGGCGATGGGGTCAAAATGCTCGTGTGATCGAGGGCTTTTCGATGGATCTATCGGCGGGTTCTTATTCGAAAAATCGAGCGAGTTCGTGGTGGAGCGGTTGTTAATCACTAGTAATTTCTTTTCATATACTGAATAATTGAGCTCAGCGCCTGATAGTTTCCTACTATTATATGTCATTAGATACAGCTTGCTATTCTTGTCTATCTGTAGAAGAGTGTCTCTGATAGCTCATTCAGATGTGTTTATCTTGATATAGAAAGGTTTATCACAATCTGATTAAATAAGCACTGAGAATGTTATTACATATTCTCTCAGTGTGAGAAAAGCCTCTTCACACACAGTATTTCAGATGATTGAATGAAACTTCTTCTTTCACAGATTTATAGTCATTTCTCTTAAGAGATCTGAGAGTGATGCAGATATTTGTGTGAAATCCTTGATAAATCTGTGATAATATGAGATTAACTTAAGAAACTGTTGTACATGATGTACATTTCTCAGTTATGATCAATTTACTATGATATTCAATTTCTTCAGAATAAGATGTATACAGTCATCACTCACTACAGATTCTACAAACTCTAACTCTTTCATTTTAAACACATACTTTGTTGATTTGATATAGAGCTTATACTCTGTCAGAGTTATAAGCACTTCATTGAGATACTTCAGATATTTATTATATGAGTTTGAAAAGACTAGAATGTCATTGAGATATATGAGATATGAAGTTTTATTCTGTTTATAAAGAATTATATTCATCATTGTTTGAAAGATGACAGACACATTTGTTAGATTAAATAATATTATCAGAAATTCAAACTTCTCTCATTGTGTATTAAACATGGTTCATAGAACTGACAGTTTATCTATACAGATCTGCTAGTATTCTGAGAGAAGATTAATCTTTAATAGATATCAGGCATTTTCAACTGTATTCAACTGTTGTTGAATCTGTGATAATGAATATTCATTCTTGATTATAAGCTTATTGAGTGCTTGATAATCAATATACATCTGTCACTCTTCACTCATCTTTTTCATAAATAGAACTGAAAAGCCTTATGTGCTTGATAAGAGTTGTATGAGATCATATTCTAGAAGATCTGTGATCTGATGCTTCTGTTCTTCAAGATGTGTTTGTAACAGAGAGTATACATTCTGATTGACTGGTTTTACATTCTCTATGTCAATCTCATGTACAAATTCTTGTTCTGACAGTAATTCTGATGAAAGATTTGTTTGAAAGATCTTCTCATACTTCTTCAGAAGCTTCTTCATACACTTGTTCTTCTGCATATTCTTTATCTTGGTTTTCTTCACTTCCAGATTCTGTATGATATACAGAATACTTTCAGATGAGGTCTTACAAATCATTCTCTTTACTTATTAATGTATAAGCAGATTTAATTCTTCTATATCAGAGATGTGAAATGTTCTTCTCATATCAGTTAATAGAATTGTATGAACTGTTTTCTTTCTATCAGTTAACTGTATATGATATGTACATCATTGAATCTGTGAATTGAACCTTTGAAATTAATCAAGTCTGAGAATAAGATTGTATTTCATGTTCTGCAGCTCTCACACTCAAATATAGTAAGATTATTCTCTGAAGTGCAAGAAAACTCTTACTCTTGTAAGTAATATCAAATATCAGTTATTAGATAATCTTATATATCAGAGATTCTTCACTCAGCAGATTTCTTTCAGTCTTTGAATTATATGATTATTAATATATTATGTAGAAGCTTCTATGTCTGCTAACACTTTTACAGCCATCTCTCAATTCTTACTCAAGTGTCTCTTATACATTAACATTTCAGGTCTCAAGACATTGAGATGAGTGTTCACTTCATTCTCATTCACATCTCAGTCAGAAGCCTGCTTTCTCTTGATATTCACAGAATTCAGAGAGTCTTCTAATACAGGCATCTCTTTCACTTTAAAGACTTTTTATAGAATATCAGTGAGTGTCTCTGAGCTCACTGATTCTGCTAGTTTTTTAACTCTCTTGATTCTCTTAACTATGCATACTGTGTGCAATCTTTTGCATCATGATTTTGATATTCACAGTTAAAGTAAGCTTAATACTTACAATATCAAGATTTTCACTCAGAGAATTTCTTTTTCAGGAAATTCAGTGCTTTAGCAATGATATTCAGATCTAGATTCATCATATCTGAGTGTATGACTTGTGTCATAGAAGTCTGATTATCTGTTCTCTGCTGAGATATACTTGATTACAGTATTTTCTGTTATAATTGACTTGCTTGTTTCTATACAATGAGAATGTTATATACTTCTTTCACTGTGTCTGATTATAAGATTAAGCATTTTCATTTCACTCTTAACTTAAGTGTAAGATCATGAATGAAGATCTGTAAACAGAAAGATATTAAAAGCTCTTTATTCAATGTGAGATAGTGTAAGCTGAAGTGTGTGAAGTATAATATAAGATTGCTTACTTATCTACACTCAGTGAAGTGTTTATAATACTTGTCTTATATATTCACTTTCTCAAAGTTATGCAAGATTCATTTGAAAAACTCATTTCATGTTTATGAAAATGAATATTACTCTGAGTCTGTGAGATTCATCTTTTCATCAGTCATTTATAATGACTTTGCTTTTTCATGTAGAAACATAGCAGATCTTAAGACTTGTTGAAATTCTATTAACTGTCTGTCTGTGAGTTCATATTTAATCTGATAATATAATTGTATCTGATTTAGTCAGCTGATTACAGCATCATTTTTTCAGTTATTATTGAAGCTTAATGACTTTAGCAGATCTCTCAGCTTGATATATTTCATACTCAGATTCTCATTCTGCACAGCAGTCTCTGATGATGTGTATACTTCTGAAGAGATTATAAATAATTATGATGAAATCTTCAGATTCAGTGTAGTTATCTGTCTATATAAACATTCAATCTCTTACTACAGGTCTAAGATCTGATTTTCTCTATTCTTATTGATAATGATGATTGCATCAGCAAAGCTCTTCATAGTGAATACTTGATCTGCAGTGAATGTCAATTATTGTTTGACTTTTATCTCAGTCTGTCACTGTGTATGTAAGGCCTTAATCTTGTTTAGAATTCTTATACATGTACAGAGCTTCAATTTCAGTTCAGTGATTTTAACTGCTTTTCTTACTGCTTTAAGTAAACTCTCTGAGAGATTCTGTATATCTTTCAGTTCAGATAGCAGAGAAGAGTATTATTTGTATTAACTAGAGAAGATATTCATTTCAGTAATTTCTCATTAATTATATAATGTCTATTATTATATTACTGTATTATTATATAATTTCTGTTATCATTGTATGACTTCAGTGATGATTATTTCTCTCTTTTATCTCTTTGAGTGAAGAGTGATCTTCTTTGAATCTAATTCACTGCTCTCATCTCTTTTCTCACATCTCATCTGTTCATATACATGACATTTATCTGAGTGTGAAGTTTTTTCTTAACAAGTAAAGCAGTATCAATCAGATGCTCTTTCACTCACTGTTCTTTATATACTATTTTTTGAGACATTCTAGAACCACACTGGCATGATAACTATGAATTGCTTTGTAGACAGAATTATCACACTCTGAAGAAGCCTGCACTTCTCACTAGTTTTTAGACATGCTATCAGATGTGATTCAAAGATTGCTTGAGTCAGTGTATGATTACAGGCGTACGCTGGCTTCTTATATATTATACACTAAATTAATTAGTGGCTGCTATGGCCCCTTTACACTCGTAAGCAAGTTCAGAAGCGGCTGCATTATTATCCGACGGCTGTACGTTCTTCCAAACCACAATGATATTATCTCAGACTGAATTTCTTTTTAAGTAATTTAACTGCTTCTTAAGACAAGTAAATAAACTATTATACACTTATCAGACTGACTGCAGTATTGATGTACAAGTGATTAAGACTGTCTTTATTATCTTATAAAACTGAAACAGTAAATCAATTATATATTTCAACTGAGTTTACTTTATATTAAAAAGTTTCAATATCTGAATCTTTTTCTAATTAGAGTATTGTATTCAATAATTAATTATCTAACACAATTAAAGAGTCTGAACAGTTATCTTATATATTAAACTTTATTATATTTTAATATTCTATATCATATTCAGTGATATGACTGATTTATTTATTTATTAAATATTATGAAATCATGATTATTATTTAAAGAAGATATAAATTGTATTAACAATGTTTTAAATCTATAATATTTAAAATATTAGTCAATCTATTTAAAATTAACAGTAGTATTATTAAAAAGTATTATTAAAAAGTAATATTAAAAAGTATTACTAAAAAACATTATCTTTTATAAAATAAAGTTAAAAGTTACTTGAGTAATCACTTTCATCTCATTCTCATTTCAAGAATCAGTTATCTTATTATTTATTATCTCAATGTTAAGATTCTTTATCAGTGTTTATATTATAAGTTGAATTATATAAGTAATGCAGAGAATATAATCTTATTCATTATTTTAAAAATATAGAGTTAATTTTTACTTCAAGCTCTTCATCATAGTATAGTTATTCATAGTATTATCAGTTATAATTGTAAGAAGACTGAGACTAATATTTTAATAGTTATTTTTAATCACACTTATTAATATCTCTGTTATATAATTCTTAGTATGACTACTGATCAATGATTTAAATTTAATTAAGATCTCTTAATAAGTTCAGTTCTTATTAATATAATATGTGGCGGGCTGCGTCTAATCAATTATATAGACTATTCTGTTACACTCCACAGATTTCTACCGCTCCGATTCTCGGTCATCAATTCTTAGCTGAAAATCTACAGAATTTCTATTCTTCCGCTCTGAAGCTCCACCGTGTACAAAAACCCCTATTCTTCCACCTCAAAGTTCTACCGCGTACACCACCATGTACATGTATAAATATTCACTTCAATCACTGATTCTCACACTTTCTCTTTCTTTTCTTCT